AAGTCAAAACAAATACCATTTGTTCATATTTCTCAGATCCACTGACCTAACAATAGAAACTCTGTTTAATCTTCCTATTAAGATATTTGGTTCCTTGGAAAACTGGGAATGGAATCACCATTTGACCCAGCTTTCTCTCTCCTCGGTCTATACCAAAGGACTTAAAAACAGCATACTACAGGGACACAGCCACATCAATGTTTATAGCAGCACAATTCACAATAGCTAAACTGTGAAGTCAACCTAGATGCCCTTCAGTAGATGAATGAATAAAGAAAATGTGGCATTTATACACAATGGAATATTACTCAGCAATAAAAGAGAATATTACTCAGCAATTTGCAGGTAAATGGATACAGTTGGAGAAGATAATGCTAAGTGAAGTTAGCTAATCCCCAAAAAAACAAATGGCGAATGTTTTCTCTGATATAAGGTGACTGACTCATAGTGGGGTAGGAAGGAGGAGCATGGGAGGAATAGATAAACTCTAGATAGGGCAGAGGGGTGGGAGGGGAAGAGAGGGGGCAGGGGGTTAGCAATGATGGTGGAACGTGATGGACATTATTATCCAAAGTACAGGTATGAAGACAGGAATTGGGTGTCAACATACTTCCTATACAAACAGAGATATGAAAAACTGTTCTATATGTGAAATAAGAATTCTGATGCATTCTGCTGTCATATATTTAAAAAATAAAAGCAATTAAAAAAAAGAATAATGCAAAAAAAGATATTTGGAAAGATTGCTTTATCAGTTGCAGGATTTGAAGTTGTTCTGTGTGGTTGAATAGTTCAGGGCATTGCAGTTATAGTGTAAACAACCTTCTTGAGTTCCTGTCATCCTTCTTCTCCCACAAACACAAAAACAATATCATGCCCAGTTTCTGAGCCTTTTGAGAGTAAGAAAAATGCCCTGACATAGATGCAGAAAGAATATCTCTGGGGCTTTGTCCGCCCTCTTCTTCTGATAACTGGAGGCACTTCATTTTTCAGAACTGCCCATACTGTATGCCAGCCCCAACCCTAACGTTTGCTGCCAATCACAGTCCCTGACCCAACATGCTGGCTCCTGACCCAGTGGCCTAATTAGTCCTGGCAGCCCGGGTCAGCCATTGTGCAGCAATAGAGTCCTTAAGCAATTAGAGATCTTTCCCAAAGCTCCCTTCCCTCAAATCTTTTCAGAAGTGAAACAGAAAGGATTTAAGCCTGGGGCTCCCTGGGTCTAGCCTCAGGGAGAAGAGGAGCACCAGAGCATAAACCACCTGTGGAGATGCAGAGACAAGTTTTGTCAAAGAGGGAGTGGTGGGTCCAGTGGGACCCAGGGACCACTCTCCCAATGACCACCTGAACCTTTGACCTTCTTACATTGTGGTTACAAAGACAATAAAATTTCTTTTAAGCTTAAAATGGTTTGAGTTGGTGTCTGCTATTTGCATTCAAACGGCCCTGATTCATGCAGATGTGATCACCTGATGTTCCTGCATTGATGGGGCTCTCTGCCATTCCTGTTCTCAGGACACTCACTGTCTTTGCACCCCCAAGGTGGTTCCCAGGGTCCCTTTTCTGCTCTGTGACCCTGTGGGTCTGACAAGGCTACCTGGTCCAAAGGGTAGTGACAGGCACATCCAAAGTTTCACCTCCGTACCTTAGAGAGAGGAGATGGGAGCCAGGACGTGTGACTGGTGGCACTCCAAAGGGAAGACAAGGACAGTCCTCAGAGCCACCCTGCTTCTTCTCCTTCCTGAGGCGGAGTGATTTGATCTAGCTTTCTTGAATTCTGTGAGCTCTCCAAGAGAACAGGAACCTGTACACCCAAAAAGTGACCCTGCAAACTAGACCGTCACTTCAACGCGTTCCCCTGTGGGGAATGTGACGCCTCCATGTGCTTCACCCAGGTCTGCCCAGGAGTCCAGTTGGAGCCTTCGGCAAAGCCTTGAGGTTGACAGCAAAGTGTTCATGTCCGACAAGGAGTAATCGTACCAGGTGAGATAAGCCAATTGTTTCTCTCAACGAATGGCAGTTTGTGCTTACGCACAGAGGACCATGTAGAAAACGCAGGCAGCCACTTTATGACACTTCAGTGCTGAGCTTCAGAGGCCAAGCATCAGAGCCGGGTGTGATCAGAGGCCAGTGGGGTTCCTGACGTAGGTGCCACACAGCTGTTTCCACCTTCCAACCCAGTTTTGCTCAGGTGTGCACCCAGGCCCAGTGCTGCAGGATTCTCATCATGAGTCTGATGGATGGCTGTCAATTCCAACTGCGCATCAAGATGTGAAAAAACACCACAGTTCAGGACCTACCTCCTGAGCCTAAGTTTCAAGTGAAGAAGATACACTTTACTCTAAATAAAAGTATACATTTTATTAGTTTCAAAGTATACAGTGGATGGCGTTAATGGCATCACATTGCTGAGCAAACCTCACTGTCCATCTCCAGAGAGCTTCTTCTTTGGCAGATCGGACACCTTGTGTCCACTAAATAGTTACTCCCATTCCCTCTTTCCTCAGTCCCTGGAGCCCGCCATCCCTGCTTCTCCTTCCTGACGTGACTGCTCTAGGTTCTTCCTATCAGTGAACCAGACCACATCTCTCCTTTGTGATTGGTTGACCTCACTTAGAAGATTGCTCTAAGGTTTATCCGTATCGTAGCTCATGTTAGAATTTCCTTCCTTTGTTAAGACTGAATAATATCCCACTGGACTTAGGAGTCACATTTTGTTTCTTGGGTTTCTTCCACTTTGGGACTATTGTAAATAATATTGCTGTGAATGTGGGTTTTACAAATAGCACCAGAGACAATGAGTCAGGAAGCCAGGAAAAAGATAATCAGATGTCACCAGAGGTATTTTGGAGAGCTTTCCATGGGATCTTGAACAGGCAGCAAGGGTGGAGGGCATTATATATGGCAATACCTGGAAATTAAGGAGTCCAGGGAAGAGGTGCATTATCTTAGCTGACTCAATCCGGTTGCTCTGTGCTTAGGACAGACCTCATCACATCAAGCTAGCAGCACTTCACACATCTGCCTTCACCCAAAATAGACTTGGAGACCCAGGAGGGTGGGGTGCCTTTGTTGACCTCAGCATCTCTTGGATATAGCTCAATGCCTCCTGTGGCCCACAGGAGGTTATTAAGTTGCTACTGAATAAAGCAGCCTATAATCCACCTCTATCCCACTATTACAACCAAATATTCCCTTCCTCTGCTGGGCATCATGTCCCACTGGTCCCCAAGCCACACTCTTGTCCTGTAGCCTGAATCCTGGCCCAAGGTTCAGTCAGGATCCAAATCTTTATGAAACAAAATTATGAGTGTAAAAGAAGCCATGGGCCCCGACAGAGGGACAGGACAGGGGTGTAGTGCCACGGCCCCTGTTTCAGTCTCCTCCCCCAAAGAGAGTGGCTATACCCATTCCTGCGCATCTGTCACCCCACAAATATCTGCTTCTCCATCTCCACAACCCGCTTTAAAAAGAAAAACAAAGAAGCAGCATTTCTATGGCGGTGGATTTGTGTGCTTTTTATTCCCTTTTGTGGCTCCACATGCTTGTGTTGACCTTGGTTTTCATTTTAAACCGAGTGCCCGAGATCATATTTTACGGAAACCTATGGAAATTCAAAAGCAGACCCAGCTAAACGCCAGCCACCTGGAGAGTTCTACTTAATTCCATATGCAAGTCCACCAACGTGTTTGGAGAGAACCTCTATGTCATGCAGAGCAGTAGTGTAGCAGATTAAGAATGATCTGCCCCCTCCTCCCCTTGCCTCAGAAGCCACCATATGCAATGGGATGGGGACAGCAAGGGCAGGCCTTGGTGAGAAGCCTCGTCCTTGGTTGCTTCCTGAGTTTCCAGGAGCCGAGCTCCCCTTTCACCCAAGTGGCAAACTAGCAGGGGCCTGGATGAGGGGAGGCTAGGGAGGCTGGAGTGTGAGAATACAGGTCAGATCTTGCAGATCTTGTCTTTACTCCTGGTTTAAATACTTTGCTCATGCATATATTTGGTATTCCACTTGATTTTTAAAAAATACTATATTAAAGTCATTTGTGTTGATTACCGAGTTGTTGGCACCCATTAACCTTCCTTCCCCACTCTCTCCCAGCCTGGCCCTGACTCCAGCTGCTGCCACTGCCTCCCCCTGCAGCTGCCCATGCTCACCCCCTCTTCCGTGTTTCCTGTGGTAACCCACACCTGGCCCGGGGGAGAGACGCAGGGAAGTTGGGCAGGGGTGGCCTTCCCCTCCCAGATCTTTTGCTAATGTCATCTTGAAGCTTTTCATTGAGATACACAGGACAAGCAAGGGCCCGTTTCTTTTAGGTTTTCCTGTACTGAGGATGTTGACAAAACAGTGCCCCCGAGATAAACCATGACCAGCATTGTGCTCTGGAACTTCCAGGCGACTGGCTGATGCACTAGACATTTGAATTCTCAAGTTAATTTAACTGTGCTGATGGGAGCAGCCCTGGAAAAATTCCTAATAGAGTGAAAGGATGGGCCACCTTCCCAGTGCAGATGTGTCTCCCTGCTCCCACCCCCACTTCCCTGCCTAGGACAGTATGGGAAGACGAGAGGTCCTACCTAGTGGGGGCTCACCCTGCAAAGAGCAGTGGAGGCTCCTGGATTTCAGGCCCATCTCATGAGGACCTAAGTGGGAACTGTACTGCTCCTTGACTGCGTCCTTGACTCTGGATGTTTGTTCTGTGTTGTTGGCTGCATCAGAAGTAAACCAATGTGGAAAAATGACCAGGGTCCCCCTTGCCTTCCTAGCCATCCTAGCCATCCTAGCTGGTCTTCAAAGTCTTGAGGATCCAATCCACCTCTGCCTCAATGATGTCATCTTCATATGTCATTAATATTACTAGACTTGCACCTTAACATAATTATCAAGTCATTGATCTGATGAAAAACATCATTACGTAGCAAATGCTTGTATACCTAAACAGTGTCTGGAACACCCTAACACACTGAAACCATCAGGGCAAGACCTGCCCACGCCGCCTTACCAGGACCGTGTGCATCCCAGTGTAGAGCCTGCTGAGGCACACCAAGCCGGAGAACACCACGGCCATCGTCAGTCCCAAAGCAAAAGGGTACTGTGGGGAATGGAGCAGAAAACAAGGAAATTAGATCACGCTCGGACATGTGTGATTTGATGTTGTAGGTGGCAACAGGATTCATTACGCCACAACTGCTGGTGTGAATCACATATTGCCTAGACCAGCAACCAACCATCTGAAGACATTTTAAACACAGGGAAACAGAAGGGAGAGAGGGTTAGGAAGTTTCTCTACATATAAACATGTGGATAATGCAGAGTAGAACTTGGTTTTAAGACTCATGGTCACAACTACTGTGCTGGCATTTTAACTGGAGAGAATAAATTTATCTATCGATCTATCTATCTATCTATGTGTTTTCTGAACCACATCCCCAGCCCTTTTTATTTTTTATTTTGAGGCAATATCTCACTAAGTTGCTTAGAGCCTTGCTAATTTGCTGAGGCTGGCCTGATCTTCCTGCCTTAGTCTCCTGAGTCACTGGGATTAGAGGCGTGAGCCACCATGCCAGGCTGGAGTGAATAACTTTTATTTTTTAACTACTCTGAAGTGAAAGTTTGAGCACTACACAATTTGACCATGAAGCAAGGCAAATAGTGTGAAAGGCCCAACCAGCAACAGGCGTCCAGATATTCAGGCAGGCAGTAGTCCAGACCTTGCTAAACCTCAGTCAGAACAGCCAGAGGAATCTGGCTAACACCGGGTCATTTGGGGGATACACAGACTCTCATAGCATATTAATCTTTAAAAATTAAATAGAAGCCAGGCACAGTGGTACACACCTGTAATCCCAGTGGCTCTTGGTGAGACCCTGTCTCTAAATAAAATACAAAATAGGGCTGGGGATGTGACTCAGTGATTGAGTGCCCCTGAGTTCAATCCCCCAGTATACCCCCCCCATCCCCCCGCCAGAAATAGAAAGGAAATTCACAATACATGGGTTTTCAGGCCTTATGAAAACCAGTATATCACGTGAGCTGAAAAGAACTTTTCAGAAGGACTAAGTGGCTTTAAAAATGAGTGTATAAGCGGCCAATTCTTACTGTTTTGTCCTTGTTCTGTCCCTGCAGCCAGCCTGTCCTGGCTTCTTTTTTCCCTAAGTAACATTAGTGTGCTCACAGACTTCTCTGGATTCCGAGCAGCCCCAGGGAGGCCGGTGCCCACCACATCCTCCTGGGGCAGCTGGCATTGGGTACAACATAGATCAGAAGTCTGTACTCAGTTAATTCAGACATCTTTTGATCCTGGCATGACCTTGGAGGAGGTCATGCCCACTTGCCCACTTGGAGGAAGTTATGACAAATGATTATATCTAGTTAAATAGACATGCAATTGTCCCTTTCCCCTTCAGGAACAGAGTTCTAAACCCAGGTGGCCTGGTGGAGAAGGCTGCAGGGTCAGCGGGGATCCTGTTACTCCCATTTCTGCATAACCCCCAGTATGGAAGATCCCTGATTCTCAGAGGTAAAGGGGGCAAGGTGAAACAATACTGCCGTTTATCTATAAGGCAGCTAGATTTCATGAAATATAAAATTTCCAATAGATAAAAGGTAACATTTATGAAACACAAATTAAAGCAATATATCTCACGTAGGAGAAGACAAAAAAAATAAACCTTCATTAGAGTTTTAATATAACTGTTAAAAGGTCTTACTCTAATTGGGATCTAAGCAGACATTAAGGGACATTCTCCTGTTTTCATGATTAATCAATCTCCTGTCATTTAGACAGTTCTAAAATAATCGGAGTCATTCCTTCTAATGGCTGCGCCCTAAGCAGAGGCAGAAGCATCCTCAGAGGGTAATTTGAGCACAGACTCTTTTCAGCCCCAGGCCCTGGGGAGTCTGGCAGAGGGATTTGGTGGAATCATTTCTGCCCTGGAGGATCATTTACAGGATCATAAACTCTTTGTGTCTGATGAACAGAGAATGAGAGCACTGATTCAAGTCTGCCCAGGCAGGCAAGTCGCGGGAAATGGTTCCTGGGAGAAGACAAAGCATGCTCGCTGCCTGGATGGCTGTGTTTTGCCAGTTGTCCTGGTGTGGTTATTAATGGTGCCCACTTGCACTCTTGGGCACAAAATGGATGCTAAATTATATGGTCACTTTATTTATGAGGAAGCTGTCATCCAATAGGTTTCAGTTCCCATTAGTCTTTACCCCACAAACTTTAAAGTTCTTCAAAGCAAACTTAAGAGAAAATTCTGAAGTGTACCTCTGTTAGCTGCCTCATTGTACAGTGTCACTGGCCTGGGTAGGGGGTGGGAAGGAGAATCAGGCCACCTTACCTGGTATCTGTCCATGGTAGAGATAAGGAGCGTGAAGGAGATGGCAGTGGCCGCCATGGCATGGGTAGATGGCATTCCAAATTCGGCAATCACTCTCTTCTCCAGTTTCACAACAGGAGGGGAGGAGGGACGGGGCCACTTCAATATATCCTTGGTCACTTGGCCAACATACATCACCAACTGTAAAACCAAAGGACTGAGGTGAGTCCAATCAAATACAGAAAATAAATTAATTTCTTAATGGCATAGTTTTATTGGAGGTTCCCAGTTGGTTGGCTGAAGTCTCCCTTCTCTCTGATCAGCCTTATTGGGAAAGTCTTGTAGAATAACATTTTAGCTGCTAAAAAGAGATAGGCCTTCTAGATTCCATAGGACCACTGAGCAACCCAAATAGGACATTAATGCAAAGATTATTTATTTTAACCACATATCTAAAAAAATACTTTCATAGCTTGGATATATGTCTAGCACTGTTTTAAGAATTTTAACCGTGTTAGCTAACTTATTCCAATAACACCTGTAGAATGTAGCTCCATATTACAGATGAATAAACTATTGCATGACTGTCCACAGGCACAAATGAACTCTGCAGGAACTGGAATCTGAATCCAGAAGTTGGGCTTCAGAGTATGCTTTAAATTACCACAAGATGGTACCTCCAACTTGGGGGTGGTCCTTGGTTAAAGACAGTCTAATGCTTAAATCAGGCACCATGTTTTCAAGCTTTAGCAACAAAAGTGATAGATCTTATGGAACATCTAGTTAAACATTTTTTGATTGCCACTGTTCATCCTAGTGAATGTAGCTGACATACTGGATTGAACTTAACTTCATTCAGAAATCAGAAATACCCGTAAAATAAGTGGCATGGGAATTTTCAAACCTAGAGTAAAGACAAGTCAATCTGGAGTTTGTTCAAATGATTTTTACATGAGGCCATTAAGGAAGAACTCTACCTTCCTGAACTTTTTTTTTTTTTTTTTTTTAAGTGGAAGAGAGCTAGGCACTGTGATACATATGCGAGGCCAAGACAGAAGGACTGCAAGTTTGAGGCCAGCCTGGGCAACTTAGGGAGACCCTATCTTGAAATTAAAAAAAAAAAAAAAAATATATATATATATATATATATATATATATGTGTGTGTGTGTGTGTGTGTGTGTGTGTGTGTGTGTGTATTTATTTTTTTTTCTGGTCATGTAGCTCAATGGTAGAGTGTCCATGGATTCCATTACCCGTCCTGGAAAAATAATAAATACATAAAGTGAGCAGAAGATAAAAATCTAGATTTCACATTCACACTCTCCAAAAATGCATAAGATTATTATAACAATAGTCTCGCTTACTTGATGTAAGCATTTTCAGCACAATTTCCCCTTGGAGAGAGAAGAGCAACTCAGTTAAGGAATTCCGTGCATGGCCTGAGGGCACCTATACCTGGGGGGGGGGGGGGGGGGGTCTGTCTTAAATGCAGACTCTGAGGGCTCCAGGGGATTTGGGTGCACCAGCGAGGGTGAGCTCCAGCGCTCTGCCTGGTGCTCTGGCTCAGGCCACATCATAACCTTTCTCATCTGACCGTGACTGCATTGATCCCACGAAGACGTGATGGATGGAGTTACCTTGCTATCAAAACCACTAGGAAGGACCATTTCACAATAGCTGGGACTGCTCGCCCAGATTGCTCTAGGAAGGAGTCCCACACTGCTGCTCTCTGCTGATCTTAGATGGTCTGTTCATTCCGAGCATTACCCTAGCGGTGCAGGATCCCGCTAGGGGGCGCTGCTGTGTGTCCGTGCTCCTGCCTCTGGGTCCCTGGTGACCAAACCCCAGCCACTGCTGTGCGCCGCAGGCCAGGTGGGCGGCTTTCCAGCCACAGGGACCATTACTCTGCATTCCACAGCTCTGGTTTCCAACCGGACTTGGAAACTTACCCTTTTTGCTACCCCTCATTACCAGGCAAGACTGTCCTGGAGACCAGCTCACTCTGTGTTTCCACTTCCCTCCTGGGAGCCTGTACAGCCACCTCCAACGGCCTGTCTTCTGCGGAGTGGAAAATCGTGCACGTATTTCTGACGTCCAAGAAATTCTCAAAAGCTGCCTGAAATGTGTCTCTCAACTCTTTCCCTTCCTTACCACCAATTTAGAAGAGTATTGTAGGCGTAGAGCCTAAGTCTAGTTAAATATAGAAAATAAAACCTTTAGACGCAGGGAAACTTAAAACCAAAAGGGAAGAATGATTGGGTAACCCTTATTCAGACCCACTTTAATTTCTTTAAGGTTCATGAGTTCCTTTGATGTCATTTATAGTTTGCCTTCTATGTTTGAAGGTTGTTTTTAAAAAAATAGGATAATAGTTCATTTCAAAACATTGCTAGGACTTTCATACTGTTTCTGATTGGTAAATTTCAAATAACAATGACTGTAACAACAGCTCTCTTCATTTTGTTTATTTATGTATTTATTTAGCACTATTGGGGATGGAATCCAGGGGTGTTCTACCCCTGACTAAATCTTCAGCCCCTTTCTAAAAATCTTTTTTTTTTTTTTTGAGACAGGGTCTCACTAAATTGCCCAGGCTGGCCTCAAACATGCAATCCTCCTGCCTCAGCCTCTTGAGTGGCTGGGATTACAGGCATGTACCACCAGGCATGGCTAGCTCTCTTTGAATAAGAAAAAAACGGAGTGACATTTTTTTAAGTTTTGGGGAAATAGCTCTACTCCTGAGATGCTCAGTCAGTCTCTGCCATTGCCGCTGATGACAGTGAACCTGTCAGGTGTCAAACCCTGTGTTATCCTTAGGTGGGGAAAACAGCTGCACAGAGCATTTCATCAAAATGCAAAACAGCTGTGAAAAAAATTATCCACAGAATTTTCTGGGTACAAGCTATACTTGGATCTGGAATGTCCCCCAAAGGCCATGTGTTGAAGGCTTGGTCCTCACCCTGTGGCACTACTGGGGGGTGACGGAACCTTTGTGAGGTGGGGCCTGGTGAGAGCAAAGTAGGTCCCTGGGGGCACGCCCTAGAAAGGGATATTGGGACCCTGGCCCCTTCTTCTTTCTTGGTCACCAGGAGGTGAGCAGCTTCCTCTACCATGTACACTCCCCATGATGTACTACCTCACCACTGGCCCAGAAGTAATGGAGCCAATTGACCACAGATTGAAACCTCCAGAAGCCCAAGCCAAAAAAAACCTTTTGTCTTTTTCAGGTGACTATCTTAGTTTTTTTTTTTTTTTTTTTGTTATAGTAACACAAAGATAATACAGTATGCATATACTGAGAGAGATTTTGGTTCAGCCAGGAGGGCCAGGGGCTCTGGGGTTGAGTGTTAAGATGAAGGACAAATAGCAAGGTATCTGGATTGCAAGAACAGCATGAGAGATGTAATGGTGGGGGGCATGTAGTGGGAACTATCAGGAGGTTAGAAGTACTGAAAGTGGAATGGGGGGCATATCACCACACATCTCCTGGGATGACTGAACCATATCAGAGACTGGCCATATCAGAAGGTGCTGAGGATGTGGTGCACCACCTCTCTTACGCCATTGGAGGAAATGCAGACTGGTACACCCATGCTGGAGAAGAGCTGGGCAGTTTCTTAAAAAGTCAAGCACACACTCATCATGTGATCTAGGTGAGCTGTTGCTAGACATTTACCCACGAGCAATGAAAACACACGTCCCATAAAGACTTGCACGTGAATCTTCCTGGCAGCTTTTCTGTAAAAGTCCCAAACTGGAAACAACCCAACTTCCATTGATGGGGGAGTAGATAAATTATGGTGTAATCATACAATTGAATGCTACTTGGCAACAAGAAAATAATGGGCGATTGACATGTGTTTACAACATAAATGCATTTTCAAAATAATTATACTGAAGGAAGAAGCCAGACTAAAACAAAACAACAAACAGTACAGACTAACTAATTCCATTTCTATAAAAATCTAGAAAATGCAAACTACTTTCTAGTTACAGAAATAGGAATAATTGTTACTATGGAGAGGAGAAGAAAGTACAAACCAGCCTGAGGAGACTGTGGGGGGTGACATAGCTTGATTATGAAAAGGATCTCAGGGTAGACCCACAAACCAAAATGGGCCCAATTGGACATTTTAAATATGAGCAAACCTTGTGAATACACTGAGAATGACGGAATCACATGCTTTAAATGTTGAATTATACAGTGTGTGAATCACACCTCACTAAAGCTGGGAAGTATGTGCAATTCATTATGTCCCAATCACATCTCAAGAAGTGGCTCAAAGATTTCCTGAAATGAGAGGAACACATTTCTGGACAGGGCCTGGTGATAAGGCACCATGTTGTGGAAAGGGGACTCTGGCAGAGGCCTGGCCTGGCCTGCCGTGCCCTGGGTGTCTAATAGATCCCCTCGATGCCCATGGGAGAGTTGGGAGGGAGTCAGATAAGAAAATATTGCAAAATCCAAGTGCAACCCAGGTCAGCTGAAAAGAGATTTGAAACGCATTTTCCTTTTTGTTTGAAGATGGAAGAAGGTTGAAGCCGACTACAGTGGTTCACACCTGTAATCTCAGCCACTTGGGAGGCTGAGGCAAGAGGATTGTAAGTCTGAGGCCAGCCTCTGCCACTTAGCAAGACCCACTCTCAAAATTAAAAATTTAAAAAGGTTTGGGGATGTACCTCAGTAGTAGAATGCCCGGAGTCCTGGGTTCAATTCCCAGTACCCAAAAATAAAAAAGAAGGAAGAACGTTGAACAGCGTTATAAGTATAGGGAGAATGTTAATCAGGAAGAAATTACACAAATAAGAGAAAAAAAGAAACTGAGGTGGTCAGGGGTGTAAAAGTGCCTTTTAGATTGAGAAGAGCTGAGCCACTGGTCCTGCATAAGGACAGGCATAAGCCAAAATAAACCTTTTGTATTGTTAAGTTGACTATTTTAGTTTTTTTTTTTTTTTGGTTATAATAACACAAAGATAACACAGTATGCATACACCCGGAGAGATTTTGGTTCCTCCTGGGCACAGGAACCACAAGCTGCACTGGCATGGAGAGGGGAGGCGACGGCGGTGCTACCTGCCTTTTGATGACAGGACAGTGCTGCTCTATGAAAACTGGTTTTCGTGTGACTTTTGAGTGGCCAGACACTCACAGAGGTGAAAAGCCACCTGCAGCCAGTCCTCTGAGGTGAGAGCCTAATTC